ATGGCTAATTTGCACGTGTGCACTATCACCGTTTTCCATTAGAACGAAACCGCAGATCGACGCTCAGATTTGGTCGACCTTCCTATCGCGGACCTTGGCGGTCTGGCGCTCTGATAAGCCCGCCGCTGGTGCAGATTACATGCCGAAAGTCGCAGAAACGTTTCGACAGAGATACTGGCGCTTCTTCGGTCGCCTCGGGTCATAGTCGAACCGATGATACTGGAAAATGCACCACGAACTATTTTGCAATGTCACCTATAGGTCAACGGAAAGTGGAGGCTCGTAAGTGGTGCCTTGGGGAACGTCGCGGCACGAGGTGTCGGCCGGCTTTTGTGCATCTATTTTCGCTACGGCTTCATTAAGAATCTATTATTATTGCTGCAGATTACTTTTACTTTTCTCTTCGAACGTCAACTCACTTCCTCATTCAAGTTTGGATGTCGTACTACATCTTGGTTAACTTGGAAAAAAGTTGTGTGTAATTAATACGATCCTAGAAAAAAATGAGCGAAGCAACTTTTCTGAAAGCTTTTTGTCGCGTGGTGGGGACGCGTCCCCTGCGTCCCCGGCGCTCGATGGCCGCTCGAGGGGAGGCAAAAATCCCGCGACGTAACGAGCCAAATGACACTTTCAGTGGCAATTTCCGGCCGAGACTAACATGCTAAATAATCTGATGAGTTTCGGGGTGAAGTAAAGTGCCAAATAACCGTCAGATCTCGGCTCTCGGAGCTGATTTAATTCAGCTAACGCGAGTTTTGACGTTCTTCCTTATTTATTCAGAGCCGCAGCGAAACATCCAACTTCCAGATAAGGTGTACATTATGCCTGTCTAGCTTTACACGTATTAAGATAGTTTAAATTTCATTTGTGTCGAGCTGGTAGCTACCGGCGCGGATTTGGCGTTTCGGACTGGAGTCGGGATTTGGAAAAACATTTTTGTGTAACGTCGACACGACAGGCCTTTTGGTTTTGCTTGCGCCGAGTTAAATTGAAAACGGGACTGCGTGCGGGGGAAAAACGGAAAGAATACAGCAGGGCCAGACCGCTTTATCGATTATTAAACGTCAAAATTACAGGATGTCGGAAAATATGGAAGCGCGTTAAAATTGGTGGTTAAAAATGTAATTTGCATTGATGATTCCAGATATTACGGGAATTCGCCTCGTCATTCGGCAAATATTTTTAATGGCAGTTCCGGATTTTTTCGAGTATGTTGGAACACGGAATTTTATCTCGTTTATTTTTGGCGTGAGTGCGGGATTAACATAATTTGCCGGTTTATCAATTTAACATCGTTACGAATAATGAGCGCTTCTTATTCAGGCAGTAATTTTTCTACGTTGATCATCTTGATTTGATTAGAGAAAAATCTTCATTTCCTGGTTTATTCAAAAAATTATCTCGCAATTATGTGTCATTCAAGAGACATTCCCAATTACAAACGACCTTGTAGTAACCTGTTGGTCGTACGTAATTTTCCTAAAATTGCCTTTCGTAATTTTCCTCGTATTTATTGTAATTTCCTAAAAGCACCCGTAGGTGTACCTGCTCCGCAATTGACTTCTATTCATGCGATATGAATAAGCTTATACATGACAGAGGAGTTCTGAAAAAAAAACGCAAAAAAACAAACGTACAGATGTGTAAAAGCATTAGGAAATAGGTAAACACACGTTACAAAACTTGAACTTTGAATGTTTAAAACTGTTGAAAATTAAATATTTGACTAAAGCGAGCGTTGGGTTCGAGTTTGGGCGGTGTTGAAGATTTTTTGTCTTTAAAATTGCCAGTTCAGCTCACTTTGGCAAGTTCCATTATGGTTTATTGGGATTTCTGTTTTGTTCTTGCGTAGTCAGAGCTTGATACGTCGTTATTTTTTTTTAATAAGACCTTACTGAGATAGCTTTATACTTCTTTTGTACTAGACATTTATGGATAAACGATCTAATAAGGGCTTAGACAGATACTTTTTTAAAACCGTCTCGCAAAATAACGTTCCAGTGTAGAAATGAGACAAATGGAAACGAATTATGCAAAACATACTATCTTTATGTGACATAATATAATTTAATGGTACGGTTTAATGACTTAAAACCCATCCCGTTACACTATATTTTCATTATTTCCATTTGAAAGTACTGCGCCTTTCCAAATATTTCATTTTGCAGCAACGTGCAATGAATATTATTCAAATGTAAATTCGGCGTTGTTCATGTTGACTTATCGTTAAAATATCCTTTGGGTGTACTGTTCACATTTCAGTAGTTTCACATATCCTGGCTGAAACATGTATGAGTTTCCAGTTTTGCATTTTGTATTGTATCTGATTACGTTTTGTACTTTATTTCGTTGTATTTTTGTGTCTTGTTTGCCCTTCGTTTGAAGCAAAAAGTGCCGGACCTTTTGCTCGGGTCCCATACAAACCTTCATGTCATGGTAGTACAATCTGTAATTATAAAAGAACAAGTTGGAGTATCGCTTACAGTGTAGTAGTAATAGTAGGTAGTTGTATCCGACTTGCTGGAGCAGCATCATTCCAAGGTCGCATTTACTGCTGTCCGATCACAACACATGTCAGCCTTATCGCACGCGTCCATCTCCGACCGATCTCTTTATGTAATCGTTTATTTGTAGCATTTTGTTCTTTTTCGTTTATTAATTGGATTCTTTTCGGTAGTGGAAGCCCGGTATATCAGTTACCATCATTAATGCGGTTACGTAAGACGAGATCAACCCACATTCGTGCCCCGCGTTCAAGGCCGACCGGTATAAATTAGCGATTTCAGCTGACGATGAACAATGTGCCAAGATATTTTCCGGCCAGTCCCAAACTTCACGTGTCCATACGGAACGTCGAGTAGATCGCTCGCTAATTACCCCCACCTCCGCGCGGGTTCCTCCGAAAAAAACGCTTCTCCCAGGTGCTAGGTGCCTCCACAAGGCGTCCAAATTTTTTTTATTCTATTGCAACCCACTTTTGATATTTGGTGTAGCAACCCTTCGAGCGCAATAGAACCATTACTTCCGTTGTATCACTTGGAGACAGTATGTGTCCTTCCCGTGCAGCGATCGTCGATTGTTACGTAAGACTATCCGAGCAGATTAAAATTTTTATGGAAATTCGCGTTATTGTGCATGGGCGGCTCGGCAGCGATCGTCTTTTGTCCGGGATAATTGCTGTCACGCCAACTCGCATGCAGAGGTGCCCTTCAGACGACCCTATGACAAATCTTCTCTTTTTGCACATCGAAACCGATTTCCACGTTCGTTCGTTTTTCCGCCGAGTTGAACATTTCGCTTTCCCCCGACGTAATAATGTACATTTGCCGGTTTTCCACGTTATATACCTATATTTTAACACTTTATAATGTGCGTGCGTGTGACGTGGGGTGATGAATGACCGAATTCTGTTTCCTCGCTTCGGGGGGAAAATCGCGTTACCTTAACGCAGCCGTCTTTGATGTGGCTATGGCAACGCGGTCCGCGGAACCTTCACTTTCGCAGCTTCATTTCGCGAATTTGGAAAGCGCGATCAGTCAACGTGACTCGTCCAAGGTCGAAAATTTGAGATATGTGGATGTAGGTGGTGACGCGGACGGCAGACAAAACACCTGCTTGTCGGATTTGACGGTGACAGGGTCGTAGTAAATGCACGGCTCGGGTAAAAATAAATACGACACGCTATTTACGTCGGTTACGAGTTTGTTGCACCAACATAGAGTTGATAAAGTTTTTGCGACTCGGCCACTAGGTCGTTGCATTAATTATTCGCTGTGGTAAACAGGGTATGTTTACTATATAGAGCGAATTTATAATGAATGAGAAGCCGATTTCGCTACACAGAAGAGCAGTTTCGAATGTTTTCATTCAAATTTCTTGCAAATTTCCTCGATTGTGTATTTAAAGCACTTCCTGTCAGACCGGAAGTCGTCCTTTGCTGTTATTTTAAAATCTACAAGGTTAGAATTCGTACTGCATATCCTGCACCGGACAGTTGATAAGTAATCAAGGTTGGCGTACATTTTTTTTTCATTGTTTGTAAAGTCGGAGACCAAAGTACACGGTGTCAGTGCATAATGACGTTTTTGGAAACTTGTAATTAATTAATGCCGCAAGTTATATAGGTCTTTGTATAATTTCCAATGTCACGTGGTCGACAACATTCAAAGCCAAAACTGCATTATTTGTACTACCCACCTTACGACTAAGTCTGATCAATACAACAAGATTATAAGATTTAGGTAAGACGCGTACCCACAGACAAATAAACCCCGTGTTTACTGTGAATCTACCTGCGGCATCAAGTTATATCTTTATGGTTCGCTGAAGCCAATGTTACTAATGCAGCGGACATTCCGTTGGAAGTATCCAACATTGGCCAGTTTTTTGAGATATCGGTAAAAACCACGAAAACCGGGAGGAAACAGCGAATGTATAACGCATTTTTACAACTCCATCTGTTCGGTAAACGGAGTATGGTTTAAGTGTGACTTTCCGCCAATTTAAAATCTTAAATAATTCAAGTTCCAGTTGATCCATAATTTTAATGATTTTTCCCACCCTTTACTGTCAACCCAATCAATAGCGCAAGATCACAAGACAAATTTAGGTAAGACGCGCAAACAGAGCCCGTGTTTACCGTTGATTTACCGGCATCGAGTTGATGTTCTTAGCCCTCGTTCACACTACGTGGTCGTCCCAAGGTGGTGCGTGTAGCAATAAATTCGTGATGAAATTTTTACACCGTTGCACCCTCCGGCGTTACGCTAATCTCTCCCAGGCAATGCATTCGATTTAACTTTTATATCACCACAGGCTGCCGCAAATTATGGACGTTGTCGTAAAAATATCACCCGATATTTACGAGCGCACGCAGTACGCGGACAAGATCGCGTGTGAACGAGTCCTTAGCCTTCCCCGAATCCCGTATTACTAATGCATCGGGCATTATTTACATTCCGCAGGAGTATCCAGCATTGGTAAATTTTCCGTTGTTCCAGGAATCTGTCAGATCGAGGGTTGCGATGGACTTCACCGGATCCGTTGGCCGCATAGTTGAGGATCCGAAGGAGGCGAAGGCAATTGCCGTAGCGGAAGGCTATTCGTGGAAAAGGAGGTGGCGACCCCCGTGCAGGCCACCCCCGACCAGCCTTTATCCACAAGGTATTGAATCGGGGGTGCACATTACGCAGCCTTGGTTTCACAGCGGCATGAGCAGGGACCAAGCGACGGCACTAGTCACTAAACACGGAACTGTGGACGGGTAAGGAAATTGATTATTAATAAATGGGTTGACGAGGGAAGCTGGGGGTGACGTTTTCTTGAGAATGTCACGAGGATGCCGGTTTAAAGTAGGATGTGGGGCACAGCGGGCGTTAATATTTTAACTCGAAATAATCAGGGACATTGGGAAATTCCCGAACTTCTACATACATATATACTTTTGTAGTACATACGTTCATTCAGTTTGCTTTATTGCTGTAGATCTAGATCTTTAAAAATATATAGGCCGTTCCGTTAATAAAAAAAGATGACTGTGTGATTAAAATCAAGTGGTCTGCATATTCGAAACACTTGTAGTTGCAGTTTTAAACGAGTTCAAAGTCCAGTCGTCTTTCGCCATCAAACCATTGGAACAGCCTGTATATAAATAGTTTAAATAAAGATATGCACACAAAAGAAAGTAATCAAAGGGTGCCTAGAAACAGGCGGAGCTTCAAAATTCGTAAAAACGTCACAGTATCATTAACCCCGGCACGGTTATTATCCACCGATAACGTTCTGAATAGCACTTCTGTAAATCTCAAGAGAGCTCGCTCTTAATTAAAGCCGACTTATCTCAATATAGGACATCTATTACTTATTGTTAGTTGAGCGAGATCAAGGTTTCATTAGCCTTCGCGCTCTTTCAGTTTTTAATTTACGATCAAGTCCAGCATTGTTCTCCCGTTGACTATTATTAAGAACTGGCGCGACGCTAAACCGACGGAAATGACTATTATTGTTAACGTGTAATGTAATATTTCGCGTCATCAATAAGTCGTAACTGAATCCCGAGTTCTAATGAACGGGTTACGGCAGGTCGTGTTGATTTTTCACCGTTTTCCTTCTTCATTCCAATTAAAACGCCACCCGAAGGCTGACTCGGTGCGCTTAAATTTAGCCCGAAAAAGTATTTTTAACTTCTTTGTTCCTGAACATGAATAATATAAAAGATGATATGGCTATCTCTCTCGTACAGACGCTGCTAATGCATATTCATTCATATTGTGAGCGATTTTTTTTTCTGATTTTGCGTTTCTCTTTGTTGCAGGGTGTTCCTGGTGAGGGAGAGCCGGTCGAACCCGGGGGCGTTCGTCTTGACGTACAAATGCGGGGGCAAGGTGCTGCACGCCCAGATCACCCCGATCCTGGACCCCGTGCGGGAATCGCACGTTTTCTCTCTGGACAGCGGCGTGACGAAGTTCTACGACCTGCTGCAGCTCGTCGAATTCTATCAGTTGAACGCTGGATGTTTACCTACGAGACTTACGCACTACGTCGTGCAGAATTGTTCGCCTGTGAACTCGTCCACTTGCGGCCAGACGTCGCCGGTCACCGGGAGCATTTAGTCTAGTGCATTTCATGACTTTTACGAAATGACTTAATTTATTAATTCGCGAGTGCAGAGGCGTCCGAGTGAGGAACGATCTGTTTGTCCACGTCGGGGGCCGTCGCACGTTTCTCCATTTATACAGTAGATGACCGTTGTTTCCTGTACTATGTCGGCACGGGAGAAGTTTATACTTGGTACGACTGCGAATTTTACAGGGATGATATTTATTTTTCTTTTGTATTTTACAGTTAATATGATTCAGTATTAAATCTCATTGATAACAGGGTGAAAAAAACTAGTTTATAATCTCTTTTTCGAAATAAATTCTGAGAAAGGCTGTGGTTGTTTTGGTGTGGATTAAAAATATATTTGATATTCTTAAAAAAAAAAATGTTTATACGAAAAAATTCACACCATTTGTGTAGTTTGTAGTTTAGGTAAGATTTCTTCTTTAGTTCTAAGAAAATTGTAACCCTGATATTCGAGTATTTCGATATCTTAGGCATAATTAAACCAAAAATTACATTATTTATAGGAGAGCAATATACTAATAGATTTAATTTGTGTAGATGTGATATTTAGTTAAGTATTCAGTTAAACATTAATCGTTATTTAAACACAGTATTTTTTGTAAAACTTGCTTCTACATCTACATCATTAACTTTATTTATGTAATGTTTCGCACACGTTTTCGTTTTCATTTCAATCATCCTTGTGGAAATCACATCATAGCAAAGCAAATAGTAATAGTACTTACACACACTGACAGGTTCAGCTGCATTCACCATTGACTGAGCTGATTATTTGTATGTTTTCGTTCTATTACACTAGTACATCCCATTATTTTGTACTCTTGTAGATGACAACTTGAAGTAAATTTAACATTTGAATTTGGCGTTTCACTTTTCCGTTCAATATTGAGGTAGAAAAACGGTTAAACTCGCCTAAAGTCATCAACCTTTTGGAAGGAATATCTGTAATAAATTTTCAAAGACGACAGATCGACGGAAACAGGAAACCTACCGTTAGAAGTGTAAGACGTAAGATGTCTTCAATCTTCATAATGACTAGGCCCACCACAACTTCGTGCTCTGAATATATCAAAATATTCAGAAATACACATTTAAAACTTGTTTGTTTCCATACGTAAACTTTATCGGAAAAAACTCCGCAATTGGAGTATCTCAGTTCGAGATCCTCATATTGTTTTTTTTTTAAATGTGATGATTCTTTGTAAACAAAAATAGATTCGTCAGAGAACTTCAAACGGTGTAAATTACAATCTCTTAGGGCCGTTAGAGTCCACATAACAGGGTTGTGGTAGTTTCTGAGAATTAAACCAAATAACAGAAATTTTGTGCGCAAAACCTAGTAAAGATCGGACCTACTCTTCCTGCTGACTTTTTATTATGAAGCAGTATATGCAGATAAATTTATGACATGCCATGTTTGGTGCCTGTACTTTACATTAAAAAAACTAGTCGCCCCTCGTGGGTAGGCAACCAAACTAACAATCAGTTTATATTGAAATTCACGCATCAGAGGGCGCCACTTTGTCACATCTAACCTCACTTTTTTGTGTTTCGTTTTTGTAGGTTATCAGCACAATTTCTATCCCAAAATGCCGTTTATGATAGGACCAGCTCCAATTCGGAGAACTTTAAAATTTTTAGAAGCCGGGCGCTTAATTCTGAAGGAGCAAATCAAGATTATGGCAGTTCATTACCATTTAAATGGACAAAATAACAAAGGGGCGAAGTATGGTTATGTGTTCATTGTTAACCAAATTCACGTCTAATGGTTGGTGATTTTAGAGAATTTGTGTTCTGGTGCTTGCCACAGGTCCAGTATAAGAATCCGCACGTACAAATAGCCACTTTCAAGAATCTAACGCCATCACCATTTGTTCGATGTTTTTATGGTAAATTGTAATTATGTCACCAGTACCTTTTACGACGTTGTATTTTAGATACAGGCGACGAAATGCTCATTGATGTTGATAATAAAAGCAAAGACGAAATCCTTGAACACTTGATTCAAGTTATAGGCAAAACAAAGTAAAGGTTCTATAATAGGCATCAACAGTATCCAACTTTTTCTTATTTCAGAGAAGTATTAGAGGCTGAAGCAATCTCGAAAGAAAAGAAAGATAATCCAGCCAATTTTGGTGTTGCTTGTGATCGACACTGCATTTGTGAGATACCAGGTCAGATTCCATGTCCGAGTATAGTACCATTACCAGAGCACATGAGGGGCAAGTTCATATATAAGAAAGATATGTAAATACTGTGTAGTTTCTCAATTAAATCTAGATGAATTATAGAATGTAGCTTTTTTCACCTTTGAGGAATTAGTTCAGAAATGTTGAACGTTTTAGTTGTACTACATCTTCTATCATATTAATAGATATCTGTATCGCTCCCTCTGTCTTACCTGTTGGGTTTAGGAATTGGTGTGAAGTTGATTACAATGATTCCATTCAATTTTCGTCGGAGTTTGTTTGGAAACTCAGATCTGAAGCCAACTTCATTACGGTTACTCCTTTCAAACACTGCTAACTTCGCTTCAATTTGACTTTCAAAGCGACGCATGCGTCGTATCGGGACTAATGGAAAGCGGACGGGTATCAATAAAACATCGTGCTATAATACAGAATATTATAATAACGTTACTGTTCGGAATTATATTAATAATAAAAATGATTTTATATAGAAATTGTTAACTTTATAATAAAAAAATCACACTTACCAATTCTTTGGGAAAATTATTATAAAAAGAGCAGAAAAGCAAGATAACATACAAATAGGCCACAAAAAAATATATATAATAAAAAGAACAACTGGCTAAGAGGAGACCTCCAGATCATTGGTCATACATATAAATTATAGTAAATATACAGTCTTCATTGCACCCAAAAAAAAAACCATTTTATTACTAATTCAACTTTAGTATAAAATCGCACGTTTCGCAACCACAATCAATGGAAAAATCGAAACAAAAGTAAAAGCGAAACAAGACGGTACAACGGTCTCTATACTGTGTGCACTAGGCATCAGAAATAATGAAGTATGTACAAAAAAAAGTGACCGAAATTCGCCAAGAACCAATTGCCGAACTTTAGTCACATTAAGCTAATATATTTTTTATAATAATTGGACTTAACTAGTTTCTTAGTGAGCATTTATCAGTTCACTAACATCCTCTTGGCACCGATACTACTTCATTGATGCGATTTTTGAATAGTTCCGCTTTGATTTAGTCCGTTTTTTAAACAATTATTGCTGACCAAAACTGGAATTGTACTTCGATTATTGTTACCAACAGTAAAACAAATAAAACGAAGGAACTACTTCAGAAATCGGCGACACCTCATGTAACCCCATACAAATACTTTTTCAATCTCGAATCGGCCGGTCCGAACTTAGCGCCAATCCGACTTAGTTATGTTCAATTTGATCTAAATTACATTGTACTATTTGCCCGTCTCCTTACTCTCCCATACTTCATTTACTTTTTTAATGAATCCTTTCTCTCGCTCTCTCTCTCGTTTTCGGTTCACTGATCACAAACGAACTATTAATTACACTTGATATTAACTGTTATAAAAGTTGAGGTTACTACCAGTTGGCCATGCCGGGCTTATTCAAGGTCATAAAGTAGATCTGACAGCTGGAACCGCTTTTGGCGCTCGAAAAGAATACTTTGTCGTTACGTTCGCACAAAAACTTCAAACGCTGAGCCTTCTTGTGCATGAAGACGCCGTCCAGGTGGCCCGACTCCACTGAACGGATTTCGATTGCCTTATTGCCCCAGCCCATTATCTGGCCCGTGCCGATGTACGCCACTGACGTGGGCATTTCTCCCCACTAAAACACCGAATCAACATAATTAATTGAATTAACGACGATTCGTGCAAGATTTGGTTAATTAAGGAAGGGGTAGCGGATTTGCCGCCTCGGCTAGCGGGTGTTCTGTAGAAATTTTGTACGGACTTCGCAACGTTAATTGATAGGATAATTAGTATTGGATTGGACGAAGTACAGCTAATGGTTCTTACCTGCAATAGCATGTTTTTGGACACTCTACCGTAAGTATTCACATATACACCTTCGTTATCATAACAAAGCAACAGCTGCATTCCGTTACTATTTGGTAAAGTAACTATACAGTGTGGAGAGATAGCACTTTGCGTCTGCAAAATTTTTTTTATACTCAACGATTTGTGACTTCCCGTGAACTTACGTGTTTAGGTAAGTAGATATCATAAACACTGGCCGAGTCCAAATCGACAGCGTGAAACCCGTCAGCACTGCCGTATATCACTTTAAGTCTCGTGCCCTCTTCCACCGTCAAATCGACCAGAAGCGGCCTGTACGTCAGTTCGCAGAACGACTTAAACGCCATAAATTTATGGTACGGCTTGGGTGCCCACGCATAAATTTCAATACTGTCTTTTAACGCTATCACCAGAAACTTGATCCTTTCATACTTGACTATTTTGAAATGGACAGCACCCTGAAGATCACCCACGTTGATCCACCCGTTCCTCCTCTCCACTTGCTGAAACACACCCACCTTAACTCACTTTCGCTGGCAATCGCACCAACTTACGTCGCTCACGCCGTCCGTTCTGAGGATCTTGCTCTTCAGCCAGCTGAGGTAATACACCCGAACGCGATTTTTCTTTCCGGAAATCGTGACGAGGATATTCTGCCCCTCCAGCACCTCCATCTGCTGGAACCGCCTCCTCGATATCAACTGATAGACCTTCCCTTGACCGCTCCTGTCGAGCAACATGAGGCCGTGCTCCGTTCCGATCAAAAGATTGACACCTGAAAAAACTTGCATAACCTAAATCGTTGAACAGTTTTTAGTAGACGAACCCCAAAGTGCAGCACACAGGATCTCGCTGTTAAACCTCTTCTTGTATTTTCGGATTTCGGGGGTGTCCGAGGAAATGTCATGACTCGTTGGCGTGACGTTCACGTTCACGTGCGATTCTCGCCGACTCTGAGCCGAACCGGCGCCGAAGCCGAACGTGAGGAACGATCGCTGTTTCTGTTGCAAGGCAAGAGCGTTTGCGTTAAGGGGTGTTGATAGTTTGTTAGGGGAGGGGGTAACGTGGGGAGAGACGGCCTGACGGTACTGAAAAATAGAACAATTTCTTGAAACTGGCATTCTTAGTGGTGGTTTTAGGTTAGAACTAGCAGCATTCGTCATACTATATTTAATTTCGATGCAGTTTTCGTATGGTTAATGGTAGGTGGCAAGGTTCCACATGCACTTACCATTTTTTTTTTAAGGAACCTTGCCCGAGTGGGTGCTTTTGTAAACAAACAAACATACAAACACGATGCAAAAACAACCACTGGGGATAGAAAACTACAGTAATGAGAAAAACAGCTGCTTAAAATAATCAAGTCGGGCAAAAGTCCAAAAATGACGAAATTTTGTTTTTATCAGTGAGTCATCGTGTTAACGAAAATAAAAAACAAAGCGGGAAGCATTATATGATGCAGCGGTTGTTAGTGTTACCACGATGGGCCAAATCGGATTAAGGAATTAGTCTTTCCCGTTAGTTTCCAGAACCCAAATGAAAAACTATTAACGAAAAAATAAAATAAAACAAAAAACAAAATAAAAGGAGATGATAATGGCGATGAAATGACAAACTACCTATCACACTACGATATTAACGACAACAAACAATAGGTGCATACTTACAGTTACACTTATGTTGTTACGGACGTCACTCAGTTAGGCAAAAACCAAAGAGAAAGACATTAAAATTAGTGACGAACACCTATTTCACATTATCAAATAACACAAAAACATGTCTTATTTGCACAATGCTCGTTGCTTCGACGGAGTTCATTATTCAGGATCAAGAAGGGTAAACTTGGGACATCGAAGTTTCCAAAGCATAAAAGCTTAATATCCTGAAGTATGAATATTCCATCAGGAGCACACATCCTGTGCAAATTTTAAGGAGACGACAAATTTATAGAGCTTCAAGATAATGCAAGGTGCGTGCCGCTGAATTTTTATGAGGAACTACTGAAAAAGTTGACGCGACTCGGATAAAAAAAGACATTTTAATCATAATAAAGAAACTCAATTCGACCATATAGACACAGTCCGTTAATAAATAATCTGCACTTTATCACCACTACCAAAAAATACTTCTTGCATATGTAGCACCGTTTACCGCGAGCTGCGAAATTTTAGTGTGTTCTCAATAATAAAACTTCCCATGTAATTTAAAATAAATATGACTGAACTGTCCAAAATTGGCTACTGTAAACACTAAATCCGTTTCTTTACAGTATTTTAAACAATAAAAAAATGTTTACCTACTGAGACTTTATTAAGAATACATTATTTAAAGCGGCACTTTGAAATTCTAGAATAAGGAAAAGTAGGTCCTCATTTCTGCCTGTCTGACGTAAAAAACGTAAATCGATTCCTGTACACATTTTTTTTAGCACATTTCTGTTAGTAACTGTAAAAATTAAAATCATGCTACAAGCATTTCACATTGCAAAGCGTATTGTTAACAAAAATTTTGAGATGACGTCATCAATTTTTTGAACTACTTAAAATTTTCTGGAAATACCAAGGTAACGTTTGGTTCCGACGTCATCGCAAAACATTATCACATAAATCTTTATTGTAATTGTACCTCAACATGGAAGCGTTATTTGTGTGCTTCAAAGGCGACGAAAGTTCTGTGTAAATCATCTATGTACATGTTTCAAACAGTTGTGCTTCAAACACCGGAACGTTTAGTGGACGTAAAAACGTCTAAAATCACGAATTTAGAGGGATGAAACTGTATTGATCAACAATTTTCGTCTATTTTGAAATGTTTCGAATGCCCCCATTTCGTAATTCAACCAGTGAAATCTAAAGCGCGATTGTGTTACTAAACACATTCGTCTCACCGTATTTTCAGTTTATGGATCGATTTTTACTTGTATATCTTCAATTTTGAATTATAAACACTCTGATTCCACAAAAACTACGCACTAAATTTTCTATTATCAAAAAAGTTAGGTTATGAGTTCATCAACGCCGCCTAATTTTAATTTAAAAATTCTCATTATGTCATATGTCATCTGTCACTGTCAAATTTTATTCGCCTTAAACAAAATTTAATTAATGAAAATAACGAAATTTCCTCATTTTGGTCGTTTTATTTAAAAACAGCCGCAACACCTTGCATTTCCCCCCTCCAATAAAACCGTCCTGACTTTCGACAAAAATTGGGTTATGGGCACGGGTTACAAATAAATGGGCGTGGTGCAGTTTGAAGCGTGAACGAAACCCCCTCAAGACCATTTGAGCGAATTTCGTTCCAAATCCGTTGTTAACACAATAGCGTTGGTTTTTTTAAATGCACACACTAATAACGTAACGTGAAATAAATTACCTCTTCACTCTGGGACTTATCTCTAGCCGAAGGTGTACCCGGACTGCCACTGGCCTGACTAAGGAGATCGGGTAAAACGTTGCTTTGACGTGAGTGGTCGCTACTTCTACCGTTCTAAAAAACACCACGTTTCAACATAACAATCACGTAATTCCGACCTAGTTACAGCTAAATTCTACCTAAACTACCAAAACAGAGACATAAAAAATAATATGAACACAAAAAAGAAACACAATTTACACACGAAAAATCACACCCATCCGCACACACAGCTAAAACGAAAGTACTCAAGACACTAAGATGGCAACAGTTGCAGCCAGTCATGTTTGAAATCTTCATGCTAATCGCACGATTCTGATCATGCTGCAGTTGGGTAATGTTAATACCCAATCGTCTTTCTCCATTCTATAAAAAAATAGAATTAACTCGGTGACGGGTTTCTTCATGGCAGATGGCGGATTAGTTCGGTCACGTGGTTAGTTGAAGCGGAATTTCACACATTGTTAGACAACAAAAGTTGAAACCAGTATTAAATAAAACACCATGCACTTCTCTAAAATTCGGTTAAGTAAGCTCGAAGGATGTTAACAAAGCGACTCTGAATACTGACTTGACTGATTTACACGATGGACATGCTAACCTAATCGACGAAGCGTTATATTTCAAAAACTGAGCTAACCCTTCTCCAGATTCACGCTACACAGTGACGACACTACAACATTTTACAGAAGATTACAGGTCAAATTACAGATTTTTTACCGTTAACCTATTCTAAACATTCAGCTATACTTATTTTACATGAGAGGCTATAAGACACTACGAGTGCGCTTGACAAATGAACGTGATCGACAAGAGCCAACCTGTTGTCAACTCTAAGCGTAGTTCAACAATTCACAACATGTTAGCTCCACGCAAGTCAAAAATTTTCACAAAATTTTCCACCGAGTGTAAACACCAACACTACTTTTTTGGTTACACTACTGGGTGCCCTAGAATGTTTTTTTAGTGCCACAAGAACAATTTCGTAAATCCTTCAAACATTCTGGGAAACTTTATTAGTGTAATAAGTGTTAAACATTTATATAAACAGTCAATGAATTTTAATAGTCCAAAAAAAGTAATGTCAATGTTCCTCACACGAAAATCCATCTCCTGACTTAACCAAGAATGAAGAAATCAGTATTCAGCCAAAGAACTGCGTTTACCACCGTTAATCAATTATTAGCGAGAAACAGTGAAACAAAGGCACCCGAAATTCGAAAAACCAAAACTGTCAAATTACCTGTATATACAAATACTCGTCGCCATCAATAGAATTAGTAGGCGTCGACAAAGAAATAGGGTTAATTTCGATCGGTCTCGAATTTCTCTTCCTCATATTCTCCACCTCCTTGGCGAACTGCGCCTCAACTTCGCGCCTGCGCGCCTCTAAACTCTCTCTCACGCTCCTCCTAGCGTCCGAATTTCGCAAAACGATATCCGATTCCGTCTTCTCTCTTCGTGGCTTAACGAAATTACCGTCCACCCGCAACAACCCTATATTGTTTTCCTTCGCGCTAATAACCCCATAGTCCTTATTTTTCGGCGATTCCGTCCTTTTGACGTAATCCATAAGGACCGGTTCGCCGTTAGTTTTCTTGTTCAGACCAGCCTCTGAACTGCGTCTGTTGTTAAAAATACCACTCGAGCGCACATTTTTATCGGAAAAAACGGCCGAGTGACGCGAACTCAACGGGAAAAAATCAGAGTTCTCCCGTCGGAAGCCGCGGAAGAACGGGTTGATTTTAGAATCGCTATCCATGCGTCGATGGGTCGGACCCTTTTTGTCTTTTATCGGTTGCTTGCTGCCGTTGTTCGATTTTGTTTCTTCTGGACTTTTGTATTTCGACGATGGGAAAAATTTTTCGAAGTCCCATTCTTTCAGCAATGTGGCTTCGTCGATATCTTCCACGTTAGTGGTTGTGGTCTTTACTAGACTGGCTGCAGACTGCTGTCATTTTTAACACAACGTAAAAATAATAACGACACACTTAAGAGGTCTGCGGTCGAGTTCGTGTAAGATCGTAGCGCGAAAACACTACACTTATAACGAACTCGGACCTGACTTTCTGGCAATAACATAAATACCGACTCCTAATTCGACTTACCCTGCGCAGGACCAACGTTTTGTCACCTTGAGACTCGTCATCGTCAGGCGTGGGGGGCAGGGGTCTGTTGGGGGCGCTCCCGGAACTCGATCCGGAACCGGTGGCTCCAGGACTAGACACACTTGCGGTACTTTCAGGCACTACTCCTAAACCAGCTCTGTAAGAAAATTCGGGACTAACCAAAGAAAAAAAAATTCGAACCAAACAAAACGGTTAGTGGGGGAACAAAACTGTCGTTAGTAAAACGTTAGACGGCGGCGGAACACGGAACTACTTACAGAGGTTTCGGGGGATCACTAGCCAACAAGGTACCGTCGTTTCGGGCACGTCCGTTGTCTTCCGGTTCCGAGTCGGTCTCACTGTCTACTACTGAATCTAATATATTACCGCCGATTGCTTGATTTCCTGAGTTGGGTGTGTGATTGCTGGCGGAGCCCGGGGTGGAGACGTTGTTGTTGACGGCCGACTGTGATTGTTTGTTGTTGCGGTTGTTTCTAGGGGGCGCTTCGGGTTGCGAGGGTTGCTGGACGCCGAGTTCGTTTAAGTGAGCTGCCAGAGCGTCCAATTCCTATTGGATATTTAGGGGTTATAACATCGGCAAGTCGGTTTATGCGAACTCTAACACAACGTTCAAGAGAATTTTTAATAAGTTATTCTAATGAGAAGTAAAACCAATCAATTAATGAATTATAAAAAATCATGACAAGTGAAGACCTACCTCAGGCTTACGTGCAGGACCCTGTAGTGAGAGGTGAAATATGGACATGAAATAAACAGAAGAGCCAAAATTAGATTGAAGCAGTGCTACCAAAAATAACAATTAAAAAAGCGTGACAATTAACAATAATCAGATTAACATAATTGACAGAGATGAAAGTTATTTACAAAATAAGACAGATGTTTTTGATTCATTCAGTGGGGGAAAAGTTAGAACGAACAGACGGCCAAGAATTCAGAATTGGAATATGTTGATAAACAATTTCAATTCTAACTTTCTCCTATTATCAGTAAATTGGGACATTAGTTACTTGTTTAAAATTAATCTTTACGTCATGGTATCTAGCAAACACGCATTCACACATACCATAGGTTTGAAAATGTGTTGCGACTGCGAATTCCTTTGTTGGATTTGCTGCGATCTTCCGAAATTGTTATCGGGCGGTGGGGGCAGTGGTCTGTAAGCAAAACTTAATAAAAACTCTTGAAGTCGAATCTCTAACTAATTTTCTGGTTTAAACATTTTTTAAATTTTCGTCTGAAAGCTGTTAAATAGTTACCTTCGTGGTGGTGCTGGATCTGGAACAACTATCACCCTTTGGGGAATCTGGGGAATGGGAGGTCTTGCGGGCGGTCCAGGTTCTGGAATTTCGTCTTTATCTTTGTTTCTTCCACTTCTACAAAAAAAAAAGTTCAAGGTTAATTCGACAGAACTTCTCGCCTCTAGAGTGCAACCCAACAAATCCCGTTATAAATTATAATTTACATGAATAAACAAATATCACACCCGCAGCTTTTTCGACTTGAATTTTTCGAGTTTTGAGTTTCGATTTATTAGTTTTTCAATTTTCGTTTTTGCAATTTTTTGTTTTTTTTTATTTTTTTTTGTTTCTTCAATTTTACGATATGCAACTTTTCGAGTTTTCATTTTTTAGATTTTGCAATTTTTCGACTTGCAGTTCCACGATTTTTTCAATTTGTAATTTTTTGTTTCGGTTTTATATTTTCTTTATTTCGTTCAATTTTTCGATTTAAAATTTTTCGGTTTTTCAATTTTTAGATTTTTAATTGTTACTTTCTTCATTTCTGATTTGCAATTTTTCGAGTTTTCATTTTAAATATTTTCACTTTTTCAATTTCAGGATTTTAGAATTTTCTCATTTTCAACTATGTATTCGGTGTTTGAAAATTTTTAATTTTTCAATTTTTCGATTCTTAATTTCCTTGAATTTTTAATCTACAAATTTTCGTTCCGGTTTTTTATTTTCTTTATTTTTTAAATATGATCTCTTTTAATTTTTGTATTTTTCAACTTTTAGATTTTTTAATATTTCGTCTATGTCAATTTTCAGTTTACAGTTCAATTAAACATTTTGTTGCAGTTAAATTTTTAACACGGCATTAAAGTACCACGTGACCGACTCTACGCTAATCAGACGTTGCAAAACGTCTCTCTAAATGCATGATAATTCAATCTCAGTTAAAATATTATATAAACTAGGCCGTTAGATTTTTCACATTCTCGATTTTGAATTTTTCATTTTGAATATGTAATAATAATTATTATCAATTTTAAAATTTTTCACTTTTTCAATTCTACAATGCTAGAATTTTTCAATTTCTCGATTTTTAATCTTTGTATTTTTCATTTAGGATTTTATTTTCTTTATTTTTGAAATTTTTCGGTTTTTTAACGTTCTGATTTTATAACTCTACTTTTCTCAATGTAAATTTTTCAATTTTTGGATTTTCCAATTTTTCGATTTTTCAAATTTAGATTTTTAATTTTTCATTTCTTCAATTTTTGTAGTTTTCATTGTAAATATGTAGTAAGTAGTTATGACTTTTAAAACTGCTCACTTTTTCAATTTTACTGTTTTAGAATTTTTCTATTTTTCAATTATTGGAATTTAACAGTTTTTTCTTTAATTGATTTTTCAGGTTTTCGATTTTTAATTTTTCAATATTGACCATTTTTCGATTTTCCAAATTTTGGGTTTTTTCGATTCCTTCATTTTTTTCGGTTTTTAAGTTTCTCGATTTGAAAAAACGAAAAAGTATTAAATGACAACTTTGAAAATTTTAAAAACTGGAAATCAAGAACTTGAAAAATTGGAAAATCGAAACATTCAAACATTACGAATTGAGAAAGATAAAAATCCAAAAAGTACACAACCGAACAAAGTTTTAAATCGAAACAGTATGAATTAAAGAAATGGGAAATTCCAATATGTAGTTGGAAACCCAAAAATTGCAAAATTGAATAAACGCAAACATGTGATTAAAAATCGAGAAAATGGAAATTAAAAATCGGGAAAATGAAAAATTGAGAAACTGAAAATTGAAAAATGAAAAATTGTAATATCGAAAAATTCCTAATGGAAAAACTGAAAAATCCAATTGACAAACTCAAAAATCGAAAGAGTGAGAATCAAAGAAATCGGAAATTCGGATATGTAATTGGAAATCCAAAAATTGCAAAACTGAAGAAGTTAAAAATTAGAAAATCGAGAAATCTGAAACATCAACTAGTAAAAATTTTAATAACACGTGATTAAAAATCGAGAAAATTGATTTAAAAAATCGGGAAAATGAAAAATGAATATCAATTCAATCAAAAATTGAGAAAACGAACAATTTAAAAACAGAAAAAATCAAAATTGAAAAACTGCAGAACCGAAAAATGAAGAATTGTAATATCGAAAAATTACAAAAATAGAAAAATCTAATTGAGAAACTTAATAACCGAAAGAGTGAAAAAGCGAAAAAAAAATAGAATGTAGAGATTGAAACACCAAAGACCGAAAATTTGAAAAAAACGAATAAACTCAAAAATGTGATTAAAATTTGAGAAAATGGAAATTAAAAAAAATTGCGAAAATGAATACTAAACATCAAAAATTTGAAAAATTGAAGAATCGAAAAATTAAAAAATCGAAACAGTGAAAATTAAAGAAATCGGAAATTCGGATATGTAATTCGAATTCCAAAAGTTGGAAAATTGATAAAGTTAAAAATTAGGAACATCGAATTTAATAAACGCAAAAATGTGATTAAAAATCGAGAAAATGGATGATGAAAAAAATCAGGAAAAGGAAAAATAAACACCAAGAACTTGAAAATCAAAAATTGAAAAATTGTAATATCGAAAAATTCCCAATGGAAAAACTGAAAAATTCAATTGACAAACTCAAAAATCGAAAGAGTGAAAATCAAAGAAATCGGAAATTCGGATATGTAATTGGAAATCCAAAAGTTGGAAAATTGATAAAGTTAAAAATTAGGAACATTGAATTTAATAAACGCAAAAATGTGATTAAAAATCGAGAAAATGGATGATAAAAAATCGGGAAAATGAAAAATAAACACCAAGAACTTGAAAATCAAAAATTGAAAAATTCAATTGACAAACTCAAAAATCGAAAGAGTGAAAATCAAAGAAATCGGAAATTCGGATAAGTAATTGGAAATCCAAAAATTGCAAAATTGAAAAAGTTAAAAATTTGAAAATCGAGCAACTGAAACATCAACGACTGAAAATTTGAATAACATGTGATTAAAAATCGAGAAAATTGATTTAAAAAATCGGGAAAATGAAAAATAAATATCAATTCAATCAAAAATTGAAAAAAAGAAAAATTCAAAATTGAAAAACTGCAAAACCGAAAAATGAAGAATTGTAATGTCGAAAAATTACAAAACTAGAAAAATCCAATTGAGAAACTTAAAAATCGAAAGAGTGAAAAAGTTAAAAAAAAAAGAAAATGTAGAGATTGAAACATCAAAGACCGAAAATTTGAAAAAACGAATAAACGCAAAAATGTGATTAAAAATGGATAAAATGAAAAATTGAAAAATCTAGTTGAGAAATTTAAATACCGAAACAGTGAAAATTAAAGAAATCGGAAATTCGGATATGTAACTGGAAATCTAAAAATTGGAAAATTGAAAAAACGTTAAAAATTAGAAAATCGAGGAATTGAAACATTTAAGATTGAAAAATTGAATAATCCCAAAAATGTGATTAAAAATCGAAAAAGAGGAAATTAAAAAATCGGGGAAATGAAAAATAAACATCAAGAACTTGAAAAATTGAAGAAACGGAAAATTTAAAAAATGAAAAATCGAAAAATAAAGAATTATAATATCGAAAAATTGCAAATGGAAAAATTGATAAATCCAATCGAGAAACTTAAAAATTGAAACAGTGAGAATTAAAGACGAAAATTCGGATATGTTATTGGAAATCCAAAAATTGCTAAATTGAAAAAGTTAAAAATTAGAAAATCCGGGAATTGAAACCTCAAACATCGAAAATTTGAATAAACCCAAAAATGCGATTAAAAATCGAGAAAATGGAAATTAAAAAAATTGAGAAAATGAAAAATAAACATAAAAAATTTGAAAAATTGAAAAACCGAAAAATTGCAAATGAATAAATTGAAGAAACGAAAAATTGAATCTAGTTGGGAAAAAAAAACCAGTTAAAATTAAAGAAATCGGAAATTCGGATATGTAATTGGAAAGCCAAAAGTTGGAAAATTGACAAAATTAAAAATTAGAAAAATTGAATTTAATAAAAGCAAAAATGTGATTAAAAATCGAGAAAATGGATAATCAAAAATCGGGAAAATGAAAAATAACCATCAAGAACTTGAAAAATTGAGGAAACGAAAAATTGAAAAACCGAAAAATTGCAAATGGGAAAATTGAAGAAATGAAAAATTGAAAAATCTAATTGAACATAAAGGAAATCGGAAATTCTGATATGTAATTGAAATCCAAAAATTGCAAAACTGAAAAAGGTAAAAATTAGAAAATCGAAGAATTGAAAAATCAAAGATTGAAAATTTGAAAAATTGAATAAACGCAAAAATGTGATTAAAAATCCAGAAAATGGAAATTAAAAAATCGGGAAAATGAAAAATAGACAACAAGAACTTGAAAAATTGGAAAACCGAAAAATTAAAAATTGAGGCACTGAAAAATCGAAAAATGAATAATTGTAATATATTTAGAAAAATTGAAGAAACGAAAATTTGAAAAATCCAATCGACAAACTCAAAAATCGAAAGACGGAATTAAAGAAATCGGAAATTCGGATTATGTAATTGGAAATCCAAAAATTGCAATATTAAAAAAGTTAAAAATTAGAAAATCGAGCAATTGAAACCTCAAGAACTGAAAATTTCAGAAATTGAATAAACGCAAAAATGTGATTAAAAATCGAGAAACTGGAAATTAAAAAAAGGGAAAATGAAAAATAAACATCAGGATCTTGAAAAATTATGGAAACGAAAAACTGAAAAATCGAAAAATTTAAAATCGGGACACTGAAAAATCGAAAAATTGGGAAGTCGAGACACTGACAAATTGAAAAAAATTAAAGTTGAAAAAAAATTTATGAAACTGAAACATTGAAAAATGTAAAAATTGGCCGAAGGAAAATAATTAAATCCAGATTTTTCAAAAAATTATAAGATTTGATTTTTCGAAAAAAGTAAAGTGTGCTACGGGTTTGTTCGAAGTGCGTTTTTCCAATACAAAATTTGAGATAACGTTATCAATTTTTTGAGAGGGAAAAAACGAATACATTTTGATTAACGATTTACAACAAACTTCAAACGTTTTTTCAGAACATTCAATTTCGGGGTTTCAAAGTTAAAGCTGAATATCTATGGTGAAAACTCACCACTGATCCATACATCGTAAGTACAGGAGTATCTTATTTTATAAAATTACAAAAACAATTATTATAAATTTTTGAAATGACGTCATCCCATTGGTGGTGGGGATGATTACGCTCATAAAGTAAAGTGTCGAGTTTATCACCACTACATGTAAATTATGCAAGAGTTAATTGCGAGTAAAACTGTGTTCCACATTTTCGTTTTTGACAGAAATAAAAACGATTTTTTACTACTTAAATCGTGTTATACTTCAATTGTAGAACATTGTTAAACAGAACGTGAAATTCCATCGAGTTACATAACAAAATTTGTAAACAACGTTTGAAAAATTTCTTTTACCAGCGCTCGCAATTATTTTTCTATGGAAATTGGCCGATTGGGGCACGAAAATAACAATTCAAAACATCCAGAGTTAAATCGAATTGTGTTATGATTCAATAATGCTACAATCTTTTTTTCTTCAACTACGTCCAATTTCGTGTACAACGACCAGCTTGTCATTCTTGATAAACCTCAAATAATGTACGTAAGTGCATGTTTTATAGCCACCATTACGTGGTAGCAGTGGTATTTGATCTAAGTACCGCAGTTCAACAACCGCACGACAAATAACACACGACAATTACCTCGGAGGCGGCTCCACGTTCTGGCTAAGCGTGCGTCCTTCCTGTATCTGCTGGAAATTCCGGCGCAGAGTGTCACCTCCCGGCGCCTGCACGATACTGCTCGGCTCTCCGGCGATCTGGGGCTCCTCCTCCTCGTTCTCCGACCCCGAATACCTATCCAACATACTAACCATAAAAAAAAACACAACGCATCGCGACGTCCCCTAACCTATAATCCTCCCGCTCCTTCTCCTGCTTCCTCTTCTTACACCTATCGATATGATCCTTCAGCTGTATCCTCACTTGCCGTTCGGTCGGTTGGTCCCTGATGAACGCGTGCTTCAGCAGCTGTTCCGTGTACGGACGTTCGTGATAATCTTTGACTAATACTGTTTCGATGAAGCCGTGGAACTTCTTGTTCCACTTTTTGCTCTTCAATCGGGGCGGAGGGTTGCGCGGAATTAAAAACAGGGCCCGCATTGGGTGCAGTTCGCACAGGGGTGGCTGCGATTCGGCCATTTCTAATGCTGTGATACCTAGGGACCATAGATCGCTTCGATTGTCGTAAGTTGCATCGGGATTTTCGTCGCAGGCGATTACTTCGGGTGCCATCCAGTAAGGGGTGCCTATGAAAGTGTTGCGGCGGCCTATCGTTCGGTCAAGTTGAGCCGAAACACCGAAGTCGACTGAAAGAGATTTCAGAATTATCGTTTTTGTTAAACAACATTTATGCAGTGAGGAGTTCTTTAAATGGAACTACCTATCGTGTGAAAGCTTATCATGAGTCGTTCGTAGAGACTAAATGTTAGTCGTTTGTTTGGTATTTAACGAGTCCTTGATCCTCAACTTTATTGGTTGATTAAATCAATTACATTCAATGCGAAGTTTATTGCGAAGTAAAGACGATATATGTTGTATTTAGTTACCTTTGTCTTTGTAATATGGAAGCAAAATCGACCTTATGGTACTGTTTTTCCAAAGATCGTAACAGAAAATAAATGATCAAGGTATTTACATAAACACGAATTGGAAAAATTAATACTAACGATTGTAATATGAATGTTACCTTGAAAGTCCACTATAAACCCAAAGACATTTAACTGACAATTAAAAAGTACATTGGATGACACTGAGTGCTTGTTATCTCTTATCTTTGTTTAAAATTCTATTAATCCTGGCTTAACGTTCGATGGGATAATTTTAGGAGATCAATTTTAATTTATTGTTACTATTTTTTACTCAATGATTAGTATCCTTGTGCTATTATAAATTACTGACTGTTCATCCGCTTCAAGGAACGGGTGACGTCATTTACAAATACTGCTACGTAACCGACATTAATCCTACGACTGCTTCTCTTGTAGTTTAACAATCGACCATTATTTTAACTTTGAATATATGGTGTAAAGTTTTAAGCATTAAATTATACCCATATACTGGGTGAGTTACTAAATGCGCGTCAAATTATTAGAAATCTTGGGTTAAGAATGTCAAAGAATCTTAAGTTACTGGTTTGTTGTAGAAAAATGTTTCAAACCCTCAAAGGCTTGTGATGTTTTATTTTTGAAATAATTTTGGGCCCTTGTGTTGTTTTTGAAAGAATTTAAAGTTTTTAAAGAATCTTTACAGATTTTTTTTTTCACAGGACTCACGTTTTATTTTTGAAAGGATTTTAAGGAGTCTTGTGGACACCAAGGATTTTTTTTTAATGAACGAATTTTGGGGTCTCCTGTGTTTTTTTTATGTGAAAGAATTTAAAAGCACGAAGGCGAAAAATCGAAACATCAAAAGTGAAAAATCGAAAGTTTAAAATATTGCAAAATTATGAAAAATCGAAAAACTAAAAAATAAAGAAATCGAAATGTCGGAAAATTGAAAAATCCCTAAAACTTTGGCGAAGTCGAAAAATAAAAAAATCGATTATTAATCGAGAAAAATCGAAAATTTAATAAACCAGAAATTGAGAAACTGAAAAATCTAGAAATTGAAAAATTTAAGGTGAAAAATTGAAAGATCGAAAAATCGAATCAATAAAAGTGAAAAAACTAAAAAATAAAGAAATCGAAACGTCGAAAAATCGATAAATTGAAAAATCTCCGAAACTTGGGAAATCGAAAAACCGGAAAGACGGAACATCGCGAAGTCGAAAAACCAAAAAATCGATTATTCCAGGAAAATCGAAAATTTAAAAAACCAAAAATTGAAAAACCCCAAAATTGAAAATTTAAATTGAACAATCGAAAAATTAAAAAAGTAAAAAATCTAAAAGCGGGGAGACGAAAAATCGAAACATGGAAAAGTGAAAAATCCAAAGTTGCAAAATGTTGAAAAATCGAAAAACTAAAAAATAAAGAAATCGAAATGTCGGAAAATTGAAAAATCCCTGAAACTTTGGCGAAGTCGAAAAATAAAAAAATCGATGATTAATCGAAAAAAATCGAAATTTTAATAAACCAAAAATTGAAAAACTGAAAAATCTAGAAATTGAAAAATTTAAGGTGAAAAATTGAAAGATCGAAAAATCGAAAAATTGAAAAATCTCGGAAACTTAGGAAATCGAAAAACCTAAAAGACGAAACATCGCGAAGTCGAAAAATCAAAAACTCGATGATTATTCCAGGAAAATCGAAAATTTAAAAAACCAAAAATTGAAATACCTCAAAATTAAAAATTTAAATTGAACAATCGAAAAATTAAAAAACCAAAAAATCTAAAAGCGGGGAGACGAAAAATCGAAACATGAAAAAGTGAAAAATCCAAAGTTGTAAAATGATGAAAAATCGGTGGAACTTTAGAAATCGAAAAATCGGAAAGACGAAATATCGCGAAGTCGAAAAACCAAAAAATCGATAATTATTCGAAAAAAATCGAAAATTGAAAAAACCCAAAATTGAAAAATTTAAACTGAAAAATCGAAAAATTAAAAAACCCGAAAAAAAATCTAAAGGCGGGGGGAGACGAAAATCGAAAGATCGAAACATGAAAAAGTGAAAAATCTAAAGTTTAAAATATTGCAAAATTCTGAAAAATAGAAAAACTAAAAAATAAAAAAATCGAAACGTCGAAAAATTGAAAAATCAAGAAATCCATGATTAATCGAGAAAAATCGAAAATTTAAAAAATTGAAAAACTGAAAAATTGAAATCAAAATATTGAAAAACCCCAAAATTGAAAAATTTAAACTGAAAAATCGAAAGATTAAAAAACCAAAAAATCTAAAAGCGGGAATACGAAAAATCGAAAGATCGAAAGACGAAAAAGTGGAAGATCAAAAATCGAAAAATCCCTGAAACTTAAGAAATCGAAAAACCGGTAACACGAAACATCGGGAAGTCGAAAAATAAAAAAAATCGATGATTAATCGAGAAAAATCGAAAATTTAAAAAACCGAAAATTGACAAACTGAAAAATCTAGAAATTGAAAAATTTTAACTGAAAAATCGAAACATGCAAAAGTGAAAAACCTAAAGTTTAAAATATTGCAAAATTCTGAAAAATAGAAAAACAAAAAATAAATCAAAACCTCGAAAAATCGATTAGTTGAGAAAAATCGAAAATTTAAATAAGCCAAAAAATGAAGAATCAAAAGAAAAATTGTAAAACAATTTAAAAATCGAAAAATTAAAAAATCGAGAAATCGAAAAATTGAAGAATCTACAAATTGAAAAAGCCCCAAACGTAAATATCGAAGAATTGATTAATCAGGAAATTTTAAAATTGAGAAATTGTAAAAATAAGGAAAGTAAAAAATCCCAACGAAAAATCGCAAATCTAAAATTTGAAAAAATGAAAGTTTTAAAATTGGATAATTGAAAAACGAAAAAATTCTGAAATAGTAAAATTGAAAGTGATAAATTTCAAAAATTATTAGTACCACATACTTAAAAGGAAAACTAGAAAAATTGATGAAACGAAAAAGTGAAAAATCATGAAACTGAAAAATCCAACAGTTGAGAAATCGAAAAATTGCGAACACAAAGAAAAAATAGAAAAACCGAAAAATTTCACATTGAAAAACCGGAAAATTATAGACATGAAAATCTGAAAACTCTGAAATCGCAAATGGAAATATGCAAAATTGGCAAAATGAAACATCCAAGAGTTGGAAAATTGAAACATTGAAAAACCCCAAAAATGAAAAACTTAAACTGAAAAATCGAAAAACCAAAAAATCTAAAAGCGGGGAGGCGAAAAATCGAAACAAAAAATGATAAATCCAAAGTTTAATTGCAAAATCTTGAAAAACGGAAAAACTAAAAAATAAATCAAAACATCGAAAAATCGATTAATCGAGAAATCGAAAAATTGAAGAATCTACAAACTGAAAAATCCCCGAACTGAAATATCGAAAAATTGAGTAATCAGTAAATTTTGAAATGGAAAAATTGTAAAAATAAGGAAAGGAAAATCCAAATCCAATAATTGAAAAATGGAAAAATTCTGAAATAGTAAAATTGAAAAAGTAATAAATTTCAAAAATCAAAATCAAAATTGAAGACATGAAAAACTGAGAACTCGTGAAATTGCAAAGATTGGAAAAATTAAACATGAAAACTGGAATATATATCCTAAAATTCAAGATCAAAAATATGAAAAATCGAAAAATTGCAAATCGAAAAATATTTCAGATTTTTTAAATAGAACACATTACATTTTATTCAATTATTTATACTTCTTTTCTATATTTAAAGTTGATAGTGCAATTTTTTACTCATTTAAGAGACACATCGACATATTGGAGGAATGAGGATAAAAACAGAGTAAAATACAGCAATAAAATACAGGATGATCCATTTGAAAAAAACTGAAAATTGAAGATTGGAAAGTTTTTATAAACACTTTGTATATTAAAATTTCATCTGGTTATTATTCCAACAAAGCGTCTATCTTTATTTATCCTTTTCATTTGTTCAAAATGAAAATTTTTCTAAGACACTAATAATTTAAAAATAATTTATGAACTACAGGACAGCTACTATTTTTTTTTTTATTTATATCCTCCAGGAATTCAATAACGTCACCCAAAAAAAAAAAAAAAAACATTAAATAGCCTTAATTAAAAAAATATATACCTTGAAGATTTGTCTTTTTTACATCTAGAATTTTGGACAACAGAGTGACGTAATTTTGACAAATCTGTAGGTAAATGGTACGTCATTCTAACCATAAATAGTTTTTTTTTTCAGCAAAATTAAGCCACGATGTTACTCTACTGTAAATGTGTCGATTTTTAACTGTGAAATTTTCAAATTTCAGTTAATATTTATAGTTTTGACATCTTCAAATTGTATCGACCATTTTTTCCTTAATTCTAAAAAGTTCATTTCCTCCAAGAATTTAATAACGTCAATTCAAAAACCCATTAAATAGACTTAATTAAAAATATATTTTGAAAATTCGGTACTTTGTCTTTTTTACAACTAGAATTTGGAGAACAGAGTGACGTAATTTTGACAAATCTGTAGATAAATTATACGTCATTCTGTCCATAAAAAGGTTTTTTTCAGAAAAATTAAGCTACGATATTACACCTCTATAAATGCATAGTGACATTTTCAAATCTCAGTTTATACTTATTTATAGTTTTGATAGCTAAAAATTTTATCTAAGATTTTTTTTAATTCTAAAACAATTTTTTGCATATCATTTTTTACAGAGAATTTCCAGTTTCTGGAAGAGAAAATAGTTTTTACACTTGTTTTGTTCGATTTTTTTTTACAAACGATGCACGAAGCAGACTTATTAAAATAATAAGTACTAAAGTAAGATAATGACTGTTGTTACCACACTAGTATGGTAGTGGTACCTTATTAGTTGCTAGTTTGTTCGAGAGGTCATATACAATAACATGTGATAAATTAAATCAATTCCTTAAATTTTGTAGTGTAGGCTTTTATCGCAAATTATCTTCGCACACAAATATTGTGCAACCGAATGAGTTTCTTTATCACCAATCTGTACAACATTGTTAAACTTAATCTGGCCTATTCTCTATCTCGTCATTAAACCCAGTTAATACCGATTTTCAATATCTTGATCTAGAAGCAAGATAATGTCTTCCCGGAAATTATCTCTCACAAACCACCCTATACATGACCGTTAATAACAACGCTATTAAAATCCTGACTTAAATACTCTTCTATTTTCATATAGAGCAATTATAATGACGCACCTTCGCCTTAAAAAAACTGTTGATAAGCTGCTTAAGTATAGTCGAGGGCGTGGCCACCCGAGCTTTCATCACGCCCCCGCGTTTCTCAATTCCAGATCGCTAGCGTGTTTACTTATATCTACGAATTGCCCTTTTCCCCATCGGGACACCTGTACCTTCCAATTACAACAACCTACGATCCCATACCTAATTTAACTTCGGCGTTGTCAGTTAATAAAACATTTTGTCCTTTTATGTCCCTATGGATGACTTTGTTCGAATGCAGGTAGGACAGTCCTCTCAATATCTCCCTACAAATATAGGCAATCCATTCCTCCTTCAGCGACTGACCTTTCGTCGATTTAACCAAATCGGTCACAGAACCTACGACATTATTAAAAATTCAATAAAAATAACCCGATAAATTCCCTCGTACCGTACCTGCTCCGCAATATTCCATCACCAGCCACAACTGGTCGTCCTTTCCGGGGGGCGACTTTTTGATGAAAGCCCCGTAGTAGGTGGCGATGTTGCGGTGGTTCGAATATTTCTTGAGCACGTTGATTTCCAACTTGATTTCTTCTTCTTCGTCCTCGTTGACGTCCATAACTTTGATGGCTGCCAATTGACCGGTTTTGGTATGTCGACCCTACACAGATACGTGATCATTTCATTTAGTGGTACAGACCAGAAAAAACTCGTTGAAATGCAGCTAAGTAAGTTATCGCGGTAGAAAGCGGGAGACACGACAATTTGTAATCACGTAAACGGGTTGACGTCCAATCGTAATGAAGTATTTAACTGGTCGTCGTTTCCGGCCGAAGCGAGAAAAAGTCGAAATTTTTCTTAGAGATTAATCGGGAGGCGGTATCGGGTTATTGTGTGCTTCCTGGCGCATTTAGATAAAAGACGACCACAGCCTCCTCTTTGTCTGTAATTTTTAGAACAGGATTTGTGCACAAATATAGTACGGAGAGTCTGGTTTAGGTCACCGGAAAGCAAATAGAGATTAGAAATCAACGTTATTATTAGACAGTAAACAAATTTGTTCTAAGATAGTCGTGGATTGCTTCGAAAACGTACTATCTCAAGAGGTAAAGTTTGTGCCTCCGAAATTACACACTTATTAATTTGAACATGTGACTAAAAAAGAAAGGCGTTAATACTGTTTGCCTTTTTAAAATCTCGGTTGGTAATTCTGCTTTGCAAATATTATTGCTGTCAACGTGCCCATGAATTTTAAGCTCCTCCATCCTTGACGCTTTCATATTTCCATTTTCAACATTCTCTCCTGTTCTCTGAATTACTACAAAACGGATTTAATTACTCCATTGATTGTTTACAGCGTATTTTATACCTTACTATTCTGTATTGACTCAAAATCAATTATGAATAGAAATATATGTCGCACATTGACTCGACGCGATTGTTTTAACATTTTTTCCACCAAGGATATCGAACATTTACACATTTTTAATGGTAATAATAACAGTGAAGAAAGATTTTATCCACGGTAGAAAAATTGGACGAAGGTTATTTCGACAGAACTTCCCTCGCCCTTGAAGTACAGCCTAACAAATTTCGCTTCTTTGAAAATGTTTTGATTCTTCAATTTTTAGATTTGAGTTTATCGAAGTTTTCAATTTTTCGTTTCGCTTTTATAATTCTTTGATTTTTGATTTCTACAAATTTTTCGTTGCACTTTTTTATTTTCTTTATTTATTCAATTTTAATTTTTTCAACTATTCGTCTTTTCAATTAACAACTATTCATTTTTTTTTTGTTTCTTCAATTTTTAGATTTTGGTATTTTTCTTTCTAGAAATTTGCGAGTTTTCAACTTTTATTTTTTATTATTACAAATTTCAAATTTTTCAATGTTCCGATTTTATCGTTTTTTGTTTTTTCAATTTCATTTATTTTTAATTTTTCAATTTCAATATTTAAAATTTTTCGATTTGCAATTTTTCAATTTTTATCATTTTTTTTTGTTTCTTTAATTTTACGGCATGCCAACTCTTCGAATATTCATTTTGAAATTGTTCGGTTTTTGGATTTTATAACTTTGGGTTGTTTCAATTTTAATTTTTTCATCGTCGCTTCCATTTACGATTTTTCATTTTTTTTGTTTCTTCAATTTCTAAGATTTTGCGAATTTTCTATTTAAAAATTCTCCAGTATACAATTTTTCGTTTCGGGTTTATATTTTTTTTATTTTTACATATTTCAGATTTTTCAATATTCCGATTTAATAAGATCTTGTTTTTTCAATTTTTCACTTCCAATTTTTGCAATTTTCATTTTTAAATTTTTCGGTTTTTGGATTTTCAAATTTTTGTCTCAATTTTTTATTTTTCAATTTTTCACTTCTAGCATTTTTCGATTCTTTGGTGTTTCCATTTTATAACTTTGTTTTTTCAATTTTAATTTTTTCCATTATTTGTCCCTTCGATTTACAATTTTTCATTTTTTTTTTGTTTCTTTAAATGTTTGGATTTTGCTATTTTTCTATTTAAAAATTCTTGAGTTTTCAATTTTTATTTTTCAGTTTTACAATTCTTTGATTTTTCATTTCTACAAATTTTCGATTTTTCAATGTTCTGATTTTATAATTTTTTGTTTTCTCGTTTTAAATTTCAATTTTTCGATTAGCAATTTTTTGTTTCGCTTTTTAATTTTCTTCTATAATTCTGTTTTTTCAGTTTTAATTTTTTTCAAGTATTCGTCCCTTCGATTTATGATTTTTCATTTTTTATTTGGTTTTTTTCAATTTTTAGATTTTGCTATTTTTCGACTTAAAAATTCCTGAGTTTTCAATATTTATTTTTCAGTTTTCAATTCTTTGATTTTTCATTTTCTTAATTTTAACAAAATTTCGATTTTAATAATTGTTTGTTTCCTCAATTTTAATTTTTTGATTTATTCGTCTCTTCGAATAACAATTTTTCATTTTTTTGTTTCTTCAATTTTCAGATTTTGCTACTTTTCTGTTTAAAAATTATCGAGTTACCAATTTTATTTTTCAGTTTTTCAATTCTTTGATTTTTCATTTCTACAAATTTTCGATTTTTCAATGTTCCGATTTTATAAGATCTTGTTTGTTCAGTTTTTTATTTCCAATTTTTGCAATTTTTCATTTTCAAAATTTTCAGTTTTTGGATTTTCCAAATTTTGAATGTCTCAATTTTTAATTTTTCAATTTTTCATTTTTAGGATTTTTCGATTCTTCAATGTTTCCATTTTATAACTCTTTGATTTTCAATTTTAATTTTCTCAATCATTTGTTCCTTCGATTTATGAATTTTCATTTTTTTTGGTTTTTTCAATTCTTAGATTTTGCCAATGTTTCGAATTAAAAATTCTCGAGTTTTCAATTTTTATTTTTCAGTTTTTCAATTCTTTTATTTTTCATTTCTACAAAGTTTCGATTTTTCAATGTTCTGATTTTATAATTTTTTGTTTATTCAGTTTTCAACTTCAATTTTTTCAATTTTTCGATTAGCAATTTTTAAATTTTTCGGTTTTAGGATTTTCGAACTTTTGGTTGTTTCAATTTTTCATATCTTCCATTTTTCGATTTGCAATTTTTTGTTTCGCTTTTTTATTTTCTTCTTCTATAAATCTGTTTTTTCAATTTTTCAATTATTCGTCCCTTCGATTTATAATTTTTCATTTTTTTTGGTTTTTTCAATTTTTATTTTTCGTTTTGGTTTTTTATTTTCTTAATTTTCACAAATTTTCAATTTTTCAATGTTCTGATTTTATAATTTTTTATTTATTCAGTTTTCAATTTCAATTTTTCGATTAGTAATTTTTAAATTTTTCGGTTTGCAATTTTTTATTTCGCTTTTTTATTTTCTTCTTCTATAATTCTGTTTTTTCAATTTTCATTTTTTCAATTATTCGTCCCTTCGATTTATGATTTTTCATTTCCACAAATTTTTGATTTGCAATTTTTCGTTTCGGTTTTTTATTTTCTTAATTTTTACAAAGTTTCGATTTTTCAATGTTCCGTATTTTTTTTGTTTTTTCAATTTCAATTTTTCGATATGAAATTTCAGGAGTTTTCAATTTTTAATTTCTTCCGTTTTTCGTTTCAGTTTTTATTTCCTTCAGTTTTTCAATTTGTTGGCTTTTCAATTTTCTGATTTAATCATCTTTCTTTGTGAAATTTTTCAAATTTTTTATTTTTTCAGTTTTTCAGATTTGCAACTTTTCTAGTGTTCATTTTAAATATGCATAATTTTAAATATATTATTATTGTAAAAAAAATACGATTTTTCCATTTTTCAATTGATGGATTTTAAAACTTTTTCATTGATGTGATTTTTTCAATTTGCGATCTTTCAATGTTAGTTTTTCGACTTTACAATTTTTCGATTAATTTTTTGTCGATTGTCAAGTTTCTCGATTTTTAGTTTTTCAATGTTTCAATCTTTCGTTTCTTCGATGCTTCGGTTTGGAATTTTTCGATTTTCCACTTTTTCGATTTTGCAATTCATCGTTTTTTCGGTTTCTTGATTTGTCAACTTTTCGAATGAAAAAAATGGAACGACTGTACAATTAAAAAATCAAAAGTGAAAAAACGAATAAGAAAAAAATGGAGAAATTATAAAATCGAAAAGGTGCGAAATTGAGCGAACGGACAATTGAGAAATCCAAAAATTGCAAAACGGAAAAATTGTCATATAAAATCCAGAAAATCAAAATTTAAAAATCAGGAAAATGAAAAATAGAAAATGAGAAACTGAAAAATCGAAAAATTCAAGACAGAAAGAATGAAAAATAGAAAAACTAGAAAATGAGAAACTGAAAAATAGAAAAATTCAAGAAAGAAGGAAAGAAAAATTGAAAAATTTGGAAATCAAGAAAAGAAAAATTTGAAAAAATTGAAAAATCGTGATATAAAAAAAATCTCTGTATAAGTAATTCTAAAATCTATGAATGCACTAATAAACCAGAATTATAGTCACATTTTGCAAGAGAGATTTATTCGGCAAAATTTTGAGATGACGCCACCAATTTTTTGGTAGAGGATAAGCGAATAAATTTTGATTAACGATTTACCATGATAATGATAACCTTAAAACGTTTCCAAGATTTCAAAATTTTAGGTTTTGCAGTTTCGAAGTTAAATTGCAAAATGTACAATTTTGATTTTTTTTCTCCAAAAATCTGGATGCCTAACTGAACACGGATTCATAAACCACATGTAAAGGAGTATCTTATTTTATAAAAATGGAATGATTTACTTATGTGGTGGGGGACTTTCATCCAAATTTTGGTTAGCGTTTTACCAACTACATTCGTAATACACATAAAATTTTACAGCAATCGGTCCAGTAATTTAGCAGATAATCGGTCCAATAAAATTCGAATAGACGGCAGACCGACAGAAACGGAACACCTGTATTTTTCGTACTCTAGGGGTCATGAAACGTCTTCGCTTACATTCAGGAAGTAAAAAATGCACGAGGCGTTTGGACGAGTGACAAATTTTCGTGGGCGGATAAAATTTTTCTTGACGTGTCGTCGGTCTATAAAATATTTTTCAACGCTAGCTTTTCTTAAAAAAAAAAAAGTACAGCACGTCTGACGCAAATTTACCTCTCCCCCGCTCCTAGCCCCGTCTTTACACGAACCGGTCTTT